GGGATTATGATCCTCTCAGGGGCACCAGAGAAGCTCCAAAAATGAATCAAAAAGCTGAACGACTTCAGCAAGAAAGTGGCACTGAAAAAATAAACTGAAAAGCTTCAGGTTATGCTTACCAAATACGTTGTCGCGTCACCTGTTGAAGTCTAGAAGCAATACATAACCACGTCTCTGCAGAACAGCTCAACTTGCAAGTGTGAATCGATTGAGTAAATTCAGCAGAAGAATGAAAATGGCATAGAAAACTTATGGGATATTGAAAATGTCTCTATGGGAGCAACTCCCCTTGTTCTTGAAGGGAACAGGAAGCATTCGGTCAGTCTGTGATTCCAGTAGCCAACATGTGTGAAACACGGACCAGACGCCTGAAAGCTATTCATGGCTGCAAACTGTATAACGCAGCATGGAAAAAGGTATGTTGGGAATAACAGGAAGAGATACGAAAACTATTGAATAGGCAAGACCACAAACACGAGTCTGCGATATCATTGCCCAAATGAAGAATTTAAAGTGGCAATAAGGAAACATGTTGGACTGGGTTCCAAGAATGAGTTAACAGTCGTACGAGTTTCTGAAGATCGATGGCAGAATCAGCCAATGAGGTTTATTGGATCACAACAGATGAAAATGGCTGATAACAGAAATTTGGCTCAAAGTATCGGAGGCCCTTCATCCGTAGTGGATGGTCAAAGGTTGATAATAAAAATAATGCCCATTTGTCATACTTAAGCACATTCACTGGATACAATCCATAATACGGCCTTTCAAGGGTCACTTGTTGGTGTTTGCTCATTTTCACGTTCATTTTCCTTTTTGAGGTGCTCAATGAGAGCCAAGATTGAACAACCTGCAGCAATACGTTCGATCGATGCGGTTATACTGCTGTACGCCCTGCGTTTCTCCGATATGTGTTTCTTCTCGATGCATTTTCCTTGGTTCTTCGTGAACAACATCTTATATTGCTACGACAGGTCCGTTTGTTTCAAAGAACAACCCTCCTTCTCGAAATCGAGCATACGACTTTGCCACGTTGATTCCATCAGGCGTCAGGGTACCACAATAAGCAATAAATCTATGAGCAATTATTATCCAGCCCCTCTAGCCATATACTTATAATTTCATTTGTAGGGCATTTCACTGAGAAATGCATGTCGTTTTATTTAAATAGGTTCAAAAATTCTTTCAGGGTATATGCCAGCTGATAGAGAAGCAAGTCAAGTCGATGCCGGAGCCTTCCGCACTTATCGTTAATGGTGGCAAAAGTCACCAACAGTCAGACATGGACGATGAAATTCCCAAAGAGGTAAACCAGACGATGCCTTTTCCAATGATCGAGTTATGCACCTCGCTCGCTTTCAGGTACTGGATATACTAAGCTGCGCTGACAGCTATTACAATTTCATCTCTACGAAGTTGGTGAAGGTCAACAAATGTGGAACGACGACTTTGTGTGACAAGGTAAATGTGACGGACGAAGCGTAAAACGGGATCAAAACGTTTCAGTCATGGTCCACGATTCATGACCATTGTTGAGCATGGGGAATAAGATCGAGTTGAAAAGAGAAAGGTCGGTTTTCAGACTTAGCTTTGCTTGGAGACAATTTACGCAGAACGCCCCAGTGACCATTCCAGTTTACCTGTATATCTCTTTCCGTTTCCCGTCATTAGTAAAACGACCCTGAGGTATGTGGAGTTCTTGTATCTTGGAGTCAGGTATTCCATGATACCTCTTTTTCAACAAGATTGCGTAGACTTTTCCCAGGAGGCTCAATAACGTAAAGTCTTGATAACTGTGCCACTCCTTATTATCGTCTTCCATGAACAGGGGTACTGCAAACCCCCTTCTTCAAT